TAAAGGACATTATTTTTGCAAAATAGAATGTTTGTTACTCTTACATATAATATGTATCCAAATGTAAACAAAGCAATTTTTAAAGAAGTCTTCTATTTTTTATTTATTACTCAGATCAATTTTTATCACTTTAACTTTATTTTGAGTAGATGCTCTGTTTTTATTTTGAAACTATATTTATCATCGTTTGAATATTTGAGAAATCTTATTAAAGAAAAATATGTGCTGTCCTTCAGTAATATATATATATATATATATATATATATATATATATATATATATATATGGTGTCCCAACTTGAACCGATTTTAAATGTGAATTAAGTTTAAGCATCTAACGATTTTTTTCTTTTTCTTTCAGATTTAACAACTTAAGTCTTTGGCAATTTCAACCATGGAAAGATTAACAATCAAATGTGTTAAAGTTTCAAGAGTGCAATTGGAAAAATTGTTTGTAAATTCAAACAAACTGAGCTGGTGGCAGATGTGAAAGCACCATTGCATGCTCGTTTATACCGTTCACCTAAAAACATTACTGCAGTGCACAAGAATGTGTCCAAAAATCCAGACCCCCTCTATTCATCATCACATGCAGGAACTGAACTGCTCCACAACAACGTTACATTGTTTCAAATTGCACTCTCGGTTGATCAATTATGTTGACTAAAAAATTGTGAAGTGCATGAAATGCGTTTCTGTTTGAACATCCATTTTCGTAATAGTTTTTCCATAACTTTAATACATTGATTGTTAATATTTCTATGGTTGAAATTGCCAAAGACTTAAGTTGTTAAATCTGAAAGAAAAAGAAAAAATCCTCAGACACTTAAACTTAATTCACATTTAAAATCGCTCCAAGTTATTGGAACACCCTACATATATATATATATATATATATATATATATATATATATATATATATATAGTTTAAAATAAAGATGGAGCATCTCCTTAAATATGACTATCCACTAAAAAAAAATGTCTAAGTGATAAAATATAATGTCTTCTTTTTTATTTTTTCTTTTTTTTTGACTTTAACAACCATCTGCTAATAAAATGTACAAATAATATTTTTATGATTCTTTGTATTTTTTAACAGACTTCAGATTGTACATTTCAAGAAAAAAAAACTTTGAATTATTGTGAAATTTAAATTTTTATCATTTCAATTTTGCTCACATATTTGAATTTTTTTTTTTTTAAAAGCAAATCGCCCCAAGCAAGGCAGGAGTGCCACGAGCACACAAGGGGTTACAGAGAGTAAGAGTAAAGAGAATGTTTGGAAAAGGATAAACAAAAGGACAGGGATCAAGGTCAAGGCATCAGAAGATGTCAATTGACATTACATTTGAATATTTGAAGATTATAGCTCTGAGGAAAGCAAGTGAGAGGAAGGGAGTTCCACTGATGGGAGATAAGAAGCTGTTTGAGAAGAAGAGATGGCTACATTTAGTCATTTTGACAGTGAAAGGTTATGACCGTAATGCCAACCTAGTAGTATGCTTAAAGTCATGCAGTTTTTGGAACCAGTGAAAATAGCTCATCGAAGCAGTTGCCATGAAAGTACTTGTAGAAAAGATAAAGGGAAGACACAGCATGTCTGTAAGATAGCAACTGCAGATGAGGTGCCAGATCAGGACCAACCATGTTGCATATCCATCTCTGAAAGGAAAACTTGTATTTTCTGTCATATTTTGCACTTTTTCAGTTTCTTGTCCCTTGTATATTTATCTTTGAAAGATGCATTTTCACCATGAATTAATTTAAAAATGTTCATTTTTTGCTTCAGCACAACTTTTTCAGATGAAAAATTAAAGACTTTACATTGACTATTGTTAAAATGTCATATGTTCAATGATGGAATGAAAGGGGTAAAAGAAGCAATTTTAAAGGAAGGCTATATGATAAGGGAAAATGATGGAATGAAAGGGTTAAAAGCCAGGCTATGAAAGTGAGTGAAAGGGTTAAAAAAGGCAATATTACAATGCAAGCTATGATGCATTACTATAGAGGATCTAAGGGAAAATAAAGGCTTTATATTGACTATTGTTAAAATGTCATATTTTAGCCTTATGTGTGCCACTAGGGAGAGCCAGGCTATGATCAATGATGGAATGAAAAGGGTTAAAAGAAAGTAGCAATATTAAATGAATTACTTAGAGGATCTAAGGGAAAATAAAGGCAAACTATTGTTAAAATGTCATTACTATAGAGCTATGATCAATGATGGAATGAAAGGGTTAAAAAGAAAGTAGCAATATTAAAAATTGCAATCAAGCTATGATGCATTACTATAGAGGATCTAAGGAAAATAAAGGCTTTATATTGACTATTGTTAAAATGTCATATTTTAGCCTGATATGTGCCATGCATTACTATAGGGGAGAGGCCAGGCTATGATCAATGATGGAATGAAAGGGGTTAAAAGAAAGTAAAATTAAAGGAATTGCAATCAATCAAGGATCTAAGGAAAATGATGCATTATGTCATATTTTATAGAGGAGAGCAGGCTATGATCAATGATGGAAAAGGGTTAAAAAGGAATTGACATTATTGTTAAAATGTCATATTTTAGCCTTTATGTGCCACTAGGGAGAGCCAGGCTATGATCAATGATGGAATGAAAGGGTTAAAAGAAATAGCAATATTAAAGGAATTGCAAAAGCTATGATGCATTACTATAGAGGATTATGGAAAATAAAAGGCTTTATATTGACTATTGTTAAAATGTCATATTTAGTTTTTTTATGTACCATATGCCTTTTATGGGAGAGTGAAAAATGAAAGGCTATGATCAATGATGGAATGAAAAAAAAGGCTTTATATTGACTATTGTTAAAATGTCATATTTTAGCCTTATAAGGGAAAGCTATGATCAATGATTAAAGGAATTTAAAAGAAATAGAAATATTAAAATTGCTATGATGCATTACTATAGAGGATCTAAGGGAAAATAAAGGCTTTATATTGACTATTGTTAAAATGTCATATTTTAGCCAATATTACCATTACTATAGGGAAAATAAAGGCTTTATATTGACAAATGTCATATTTTATGATCAATGATGGAATGAAAAGGGTTAAAAGAAAGCTATAGCATTAATATTAAAGGAATTGACAATCAAGCCTTATATGATGCATTACTATAGAGGATCTAAAGGGAAAATAAAGGCTTTATATTGACTATTGTTAAAATGTCATATTTTAGCCTTATGTACCACAATGATGGAATAGGGGAGAAGTAGCAATATTAAAGGCTGATGATCAATGATGGAATTGAAAAGGGTTAAAAGAAAGTAGATCAATATTAAAGGGAATTGCAATAAAACTATGATGCATTACTATAGAGGATCTAAGGAAAATAAAGGCTTTATAAATTGTTAAAATGTCAAAGCCTTTATATTGACAATGATGGAATGAAAGGGTTAAAAAATGTAGCAATATTAAAGGAATTGCCTTATGATGCATTACTATAGAGGATCTAAGGGAAAATAAAAGCTTTTATAGCTATTGTTAAAATGTCATATTTTAGCCTTATGTGCCACTAGGGAGAGCTAGGCTATGATCAATGATGGCTATGATCAATGATACTATAGAGGAATGAAAAGGGTTAAAAGAAAGTAGGGAGAATATGATCAAAGGAAATTTAAAAAATGAAAATGCAATCAATTGACATTACTATAGAGGATCTAAGGGAAAATAAAGGCTTTATATTGACTATCTTTATATTGACTATTGTTAAAATGTCATATTTTAGCCTTATGTGCCACTAGGGAGAGCCAGGCTATGATCAATGATGGAATGAAAGGGTTAAAAGAAAGTAGCAATATTAAAGGAATTAGAGGATCTAAGGGAAAATCTTTATATTGACTATTGTTAAAAATCAAACTGATGGGAAAATGATGCATTAAAACTATAGAGGATCAATGATGGAATGAAAATGGTTAAAAGGGAAAATTAAAGGGAAATCTTTGCATTACTATAGAGGATCTAAGGGAAAATAAAAGGCTTTATATTATTGTTAAAATGTCATATTTTAGCCTTATGTGCCACTAGGAGAGCCAGGATATGATCAATGATGGAATTAAATGAAAGGGTTAAAAGAAAGTAGCAATGAAAGCTATGATGCATTACTATAGATGGATCTATCTAAGGGAAAATAAAGGCTTTATATTATTGTTAAAAGGAATTTTAGTCAATGCCACTAGGGAGAGCCAGGCTATGATCAATGATGGATGCATTACTATAAAGGAATTGCAATCAAGCTATGATGCATTACTATAGAAGATCTAAGGAAAATAAAGGCTTTATATTGACTATTGTTAAAATGTCATATTTTAGCCTTATGTGCCACTAGGAGAGCCAGGCTATGATCAATGATGGAATGAAAGGGTTGATCAATGATGGAATGAAAGCTATGGCATTTATAAAGATCTAAGGAAAATAAAGCTTTATATTGAATTGTTAAAATTAAAGCCAGGATGATCAATGCAAATGAAAGGGTTAAAAAGAAAGTAGCAATATTAAAGGAATTGCAATGCTATGATGCATTACTATAGAGGATCTAAGGGAAAATAAAAAAGGCTTTATATTGACTATTGTTAAAATGTCATATTTTAGCCTCAAGCTATGATATATGCCAGGCTTTATATTGACTATTGTTAGCCTTATGGAGAGCCAGGCTATGATCAATGATGGAATGAAAGGGTTAAAAAAGAAAGTAATTATAATCATGTTATGGTGCATTACTGATCTAAGGAAAATAAAGGCTTTATATTGACTATTGTTAAATTATCATATATTTTCCTCATGTAGTGTTGAGAATTATTGCCTTTTTTACTGTACAAATTATTTGATTCTTATATGAGAAATAAATTTGGGGGGTTCAATAACATCTTAGTAATTTTTATGCTACTTTAAGTAAAGTGGAGTTCTGAAATTTTTTTGACAGTTGTATTTCTTTTACTTATTTTAATTGTATTTTCTTCTTTGTACCCCTAGGTGTCTGGCATGGGTACCAAGTCTCTATCTGAATGCAAACTTGACAGTGATGGCCGCCCTGCTTCAGCCTCCCAGTCGGACGATGATCGCAAACCCAAACGCAAAGGGGGGTTAAGTTCAGCCCATAGCATGACCTCTATGGGAGCAGGGCTCCTGTCAAAGGGCAAAAACATATTCAAAAAATTCACCAGATAATATGAAATTCATATTCGCCAAATCTGACACTGATTGTAATAAAATGAAGGCGGGAGTATATTGGAAAAAAAATTGTTTGGGAGTTAATAAAAATGAAGAAAAAAAAAATAAAATGGAAGAAAGAAGAAAAAATTGAAAGTATGAAAAGAAATTACAGGGGATTAAAAAAGATTTAAATCTACATATCAACTGGCGGAAACATATCCAAAAAAGAAAAAAAACTGAAAACAGGTAATGTTGAAACCCATTGTTAAAAGTTATGTATATATATATATATATATATATATATATATATATATATATATATACCAACTCAAAAAGGATTCCAATATTTAAAAAAAAAATGTATCTGAAAATAAATCAAGAATGCATAAAAGATATGGCAGGACTAAGAGGAACTTTTAAACAAAAGAAGATAGATTTTTTTCTTGTCTGTTAAAATGACAACGTAGCAGTTTTAAGCTTCTCAAATAAACAAATAAATGGAAAAAAGGAACCAGTTGTTGTCAATTTTCAAAGATACATTTTCTGGAGTTTTTACTCTGTTAGGAACAGACAGCTGACCAGTGGCCACTGTGTAGACACTAACCAAAGACCTTTTCTTGTTTCAATAATAATCTAATGACTTAGCGCTCTTGTTGGCACTACCAAAAGAAGGGTTGATTGACTACTTTCTGTGCTAGCAATGGTCAGTTGTACTGTTTTATTGCAAAAAAAAAAAATCCTCTTCTCTGGACAGATGACCAGTGTCTGCTGGCACAATGGACGACCAAAGTCTGCATGTAAAGCAGGTGAATAATTCATTCAGGGCAAGTGACCTCTGGTCAAGCAGTAGAGGAGCAACTCTCATTCTGAATAATCATCTGATGGACAGGTAATCATTTTCTTGGACACACTAATTGTTGGCCGATTGACTCTGGCTCTTAGCAAGAATTAGTTGTTCGAGGATTTTTGAATCGGTGCCCAAAGGGAACAAAAAAGTTCTTGGACAGGTGTTTGGAAAAAAAAAAAATATGAATTTGAAATTTTTGTTGATTGACTATGAAACAGAGTTCATGGAATATGCTGGAATATTTTTTTGTTGTTTCTTTATTTTATTTAAATTTTTTTTTTCTGTTATTTCTGAACTGTTTACTTACAGTTTTTACTTATATACTATTGACCATTTTGTTTTGTTTTATACTTTGCTGATTTTTTTTTTTTATTTGGTAAGTAGATTTGCCCTTTGTTCAGGATATTTTTCATCGTTTTTATTTTTTTTTAAAGTGGAGTTTACAAAAATAAAAGAAACATGAATGTTAACAAAAATAAATAAATTTTAAAATACAAAATTAAAAATGTCAGGAACAAAAAAGTCCTGTTTAAAAAAAAAAAAATTAGTTGTAAAAATGATAAAATAAAATTAAAAAGATAATTTTCAAAAACCTTAAAAGAGAAATAAATGAATTGTACAAAGACAATAAAAAGTGATAAAATATATAATATATATATATATATATATATATATATATATGTGTGTGTGCATGCATGTCTGTGAACAACACAGACACACACACACACATATATATATATATATATATATATATATATATATATATATATATATATATATATATATATATATATATGGGTCCATAAAGTTCGTGTGCAATTTAAATTTATAAATTTTTTAAAGTGCACACGAATTTTATGGACACCCTGTATATGGACATACATACATACACAGGGTGGGTAGAAACTAACTCCCTAATTAAATTGTTGATAACTTTATTAGTTATTGGTTTATTTTCATAAAATTTGTTTTATTTTCAATAATATAATGGTAGAAAGTGTTAAATTCTACATAGGCACCAGCATTGTCCACCAGTGTTTCTAATAGTCTTGGTATATCCTTAAACATTCTCTGTACCTTTTGCAAATTTTCTTCCAATCTGGATGTTGAAGGACGACCGATTCTGTGGCTATCTACCACAGATCTTATACTCATCAGCTTGGTATGACAATTTCTGATCATTTTGGCATCTACAGAAGCACAAGGTACATAAATGCTGTGCCACTATCTCTCTGCACTTGACTGCCACAATGTCAGGTGATGTGCCATTCTGGGCTACACTTGTTGCTCTGAAATAAATAAATATAAAAAAAAAAAACCCAGAAATTAGCAATGAAATTCTACCACTTTAGAGATCATTGTTTCATGCAAATGTGGTGATTTTAATAAAAGTTATTTTTCAATAGGGAGTTTCTTTCCACCTACCCTATATATATATATATATATATATATATATATATATATATATATATATATATATATAATATTAAATGAGATCTGTATCAGACAAGTTTGTACAAACCAAAGCAAGAAAAAAAAATATTTCTTTTGTTTCTTAAAAGAACCCTTAAACGATATCATGATCTTAATTCAGTCTGGTTTCCCCCCTTTCCTTTCTACCCCCATACAAGATCAGCATTGTTGTGTTGTCGTTACTCTTTTTCTTGAGATATTCATATTGGTTGAAAGTATTTTCCTGAACCACCTCCCCACCAACTCCCATGTACAATTTCCATATACACTATTGTTCCTCTTTGCAGTTCAAGCTATTTGGTGTATGTGTGTGTGCACACGCATGCATGCATGCATGTATGTATGTGTGTGTGTGTGTGTGTGTGTGTGTGTGTGTGTGTGTGTATATATATATATATAAAACTACAAAAGAGATGTGTATTTCTCCTCTCAGACATATAAAAACATTCTTCCATTATTTGTATAAATTTTCTGTAATTGGGGAACGTTTTTTTTTTATTTCCAAATTTCCTCGGTGAAGCATTGTCATCATTATTATTTTTTTTTGCTAGTTTTTCTTTCAGGTGTAAACAAAAAATATACCATGAAGTAAAAATCAGATATGAAAGTTTGTAGCTATGTGACTAAATTTGAATTCTGTCTTCTCATTGGCTTTTTGTTTTGTTTTGTTTTTTTTGTTCCTTTTTTTTTTTTTTTTTTTTTGTTGTTTTGTTTTTTTGTGTTTTTTTTTTTTTTAGTCTAATCTTAATTGTTAGAGAGTTTTCCAAGAGTAAAGGGGCATGAGTTCAAATCTCAGCAAAAGCTTATTCTTTCTTTCTGCTGCTTGCCATATGTCACAGTGACACTCACACTGTAATAAAAGCATCAGACAAAAGAAAAACTTGTTGGCAAAAAAAAAAAAAAATTGTGTTGCTTGTTTTTAAACAGTCTATGATGGAAAGTTGAATTTTGACAAAAAACAAAAATTCCTCTGCAGTTATTCAACTCCAACGGCTTCTCTATAAAATCTATTGCCATATTAATAAAGTATAAATGTGTCCATCCAATAACAGAAACTCCTACTGTCTAGAAATAATTAGACAGTCATTATCAAAGTTGGATATGCAAAAGCAATATCAAATGTATTTTAGTTGTTTACAGGTCTATTGTTTTCATGGCAATTGTTCAGAAGAGTTATGTTCCTTTACAGCCATGACCCACCAGGCCACATACAGAGAGTTAAATCATCCTCATTCCCTTTGTATTCCATTGGTAAGAAGGAAGTTCCACTCAGACGATTTCTTCCCAAAAGCTAAAGAATGTGTGGGTGGTGTAATGGACTATGTTTTGGCATGAGAAATCAAATGAGTTCAAATTCCTGTCAGGTTCATTACATTCACTTACATGCAAATAACATTAGAAAAAGTATGAATTCTACACCCCCTACCTATGGGTTAAATATCTGGAAAAATATTGCTATTCTCCCAAAAATTGTTAATGCAATATTCACATGTGAAAAATTGTTTAGGCTTTAAACAACCTACAAAGGATTGATAAGCTGTAAAAAAAAAAAAAAAGAGAAACACATTAATCTTTCCAAGAATTGCTACTTTATGGGACAGACTTTCAAGAGGATGTTTCTCTAATCACTACGGCCTTGTGGGTGATGAACTATTTTCCAACATACAACTCGTTTACCACAGACGAAATGTTTCTAAGCTTCTCGCTACTTTATCACCATTTCCATGACAAATGTTCAGATGAGCTACATTCCTTTTGGTTCAGACGAGCTACATTCCTTTTGGTTCAGACATTCACATACACCGAGTCAAATTATCCTCATTCCCTTCATATTCCATTGGTAAGGAGGAAGTTGCATTCAGACAGCTTCTTCCTTTGAACTATCACTTTGTCAAACAGGCTCCTGAGAGGAGACTTCCTTCCTCGATCACTACAATCTTAAACTTTTCAAGTCTAGAGTTAATTGTTATCTGTCCTACATATCTTCTTAATATGCACTTCTTACTTTCTTCCTTTACAACAACATCAATCACTCTCTACTTTGAGTGGCTCTTGGGCCTTGTATTTGGTGAACATCAGTAAAAAAAAACAACAAACAAAAACAGGTTGACATAAACACTGTCATTTTTATGCATTTCGCATATGCAGAGTCTACATTGACAAGTTTTATACAGACAGATATTTGATATATTAATATGGATCAAAATGCAGCATTTATCTCTAAACCAACAGACAGATGCTTGGTCCATATTGGCTATATCAGGTTATTGGTTCATGCCATTTATTTACAGGCAGACAGCTTATTCATGTTGTTTACAGACAGACAAGCAATATTATTTTAACTGTCTTTGAATTTACAGAAATGCTTGGTCAGTTTTCTGCTGACCAAAGATGCTGGCTGGTACATCTATCAGATTACAGACTGGTCCGAGTCTTCAATTTATGAGTTAACAGACAGACTCAATTATTATCAAAGTCAGTGGACAGACAGGAAATTATATTTTTTTTGTACTATCATGAACCCCTAAAATGTTTTATGTGGGGACCATCTCAGTTTCAAGCAATGTCATCACTTGATCCATCCTCAGATATGTGCTAGACAAATGTGGC